ATTGGTTGATTGTTCTCACTGTCAGAAAGTTCTTCCTTATTTCCAGGTTGAATCTCTCCTTGTTTTGTTTCCATCCATTATTCCTTGTCTGAACTTTGGATGCCTTGGAAAATTTGGGGGGGAAAATTTCAACGGAAGAACAGAGATCTAGAAAGGGGATGAGATTAAACCTCTCGAGAAGGAGGACCTGTTTCCTGACCCGGGAAGGAGAAGTGGGGGGTAGAGATTTTCCCCGCAGAGCAGAATTCTTTGTCTCTCCCAAGTCAGCTTCTCCACGCGGGATGGATGGGGGAATGGAATAAGCCACCGCCGTTTCCAGGACTCGCTTTCCCATCAAACGTTGCGGCGCCTGCGCCTGCGCAGTGACCCTCTCCATTCCGCCGCGCAGCGACCTCCCGGTCCTTACGGAGGCCGAGCCAAGATGGCCGCCGTCGGGGCGTCAGGCGGCTCGACAGAGACGGCGGGCAACGGGGGCGGAGCGCAGGCTTCCTCCTCCGCCGCCGCCGCCGCCGTTGCTACCACGACGGCTCCGGCCTCTTCCTCCACCCCTTCGTCGTCCTCCGTAGCCGGGGGAGCAGCGGCGGCGGCGGCGGCATCAGCCGCCTCGTCGGTAGCAGGACCGCCCCAGCCCGCGGTGGGAGGGAGCGCCGGGCCCGGAGGCTCGGGGGCGGCGGTCTCCGGCGGGCCTGAGGCCACGGCAGGAGGAGGCGGAGGCTCCGCCGGTTCCTCGTCGTCGGCGTCCTCCGTGTCCGGGGCCGGCGGCGCTCCGGTGTCTTCGGGGGCGTCGGAGTCGTGGTACGTGGCGCTGCTGGGCTTGGCCGAGCACTTCCGCACCTCTAGCCCGCCCAAGGTGCGGCTCTGCGTCCACTGCCTCCAGGCCGTGCTGCCCCGCAAGCCCCCCGCTCGGGTCGAAGCCCGCACCCACCTCCAGCTCGGCTCCGTCCTCTACCACCACACGCGCAACGGAGAGCAGGCCCGCGGGCACCTCGAGAAAGCGGTGCGTCCCGGGGAGGGGGGGGGACGTGGAAGGGATGCGGGGGTGACCGGCAGAGCCCCCTCAGATTGCCCCAGGGAGGGAGGGAGGGAAGAGGACAGCCAGGCTTGTGGACACGTGTGACTTGGATGTTTGGCCCCAATCGGGGGAAAAACATAGGACATCCTTGGCTTACGACCACAGTGG